CCCCTAGCTGAAGGACCACCCCTTCTAAACTTTCTGTGACTGCTCATTCAGTATACTCACGCGCATAATTCAATCCCTTTATCTGTAACCTGAGAAGGCAATGTGTCACAGTGGAAATGGACCCACATAATATGGACTATGTTCATGTCGTTCAAAGAACGGTGCCCTCTGACACATCTTGTTAGTGATTACAATGTTCAATTACTACTTATGTATCAATATTATTTGCTGGAATTTGTGTCTAATGTCGATATCTCTGGTAGTGACGTAATACTTACTCTGATGAAATTCTTCAGTTCATTCATGGACTCCGATATTTTGTTGTGCCCAGACAATGCCGGAGAAATTCTTCTCAAAAATGGAAAAATTGTTTGTAAGCTTCCAGAGCTTGTAGAATTACGAAACAAGAAATCCAACTTCTGAAGTAATGTCTTAAAGTCAGCATCATTATAAGCATACCTGGTGCCAGCGGTCATTGACCACAGGATGTTTATTGATGTAACAGTGAAAAGTCCAGTAGCCTAAAACCATAATTTGAAAATGTAAACTTGAGTACTTATCCAGTGATCGGTAGATCATACCATTGTATTTCCATACCAAACTGTGAATGCCTAGCTGTGATTCCTCCTTAGTGTTTACTTCCAGATGGCAGTTTAATGTAGGTTTTGAAAGGGTACGATGTTATTTTAACATGATTTGTATGTTTCCTCTTGAAGATCTATTAATCTTTTATGAGGTTTCATAGATGAAATAAGGGGAAATGCACGACTCCCCAGTATGTGTTAACTTGAAACGAAATGCGTTCAGATAATTTAAGAACCGAGATGTGTTTCGATTCACTCACACATTTTACTGTGAACCAACTTTATTATTTTAAAATTTATAATTATTTCATCTGGAATAAGAAAAGATGTTTTAAGGAGAAAATTATATACGTATTCCTAGATGTAGGAGATAATTTTGGAGGAACTTTTAAAGAAGTACTAATTCTTATCTTCTCTATTGCTTTTGGGGAAATCACCTCCATATCTAGCATTTAGGTTATGTTAATCCTGTAAGTCCAGTACAAAAATCCCTATCCTTGATCATCTTTGCTACTTGACAAGGTGTCTTCCTTGTCATTGTTTGCTTCGTGAAAGTGAAACACGCTCGACTTCTGTAATCCCTCCAACATCATTGGCAAAGTAAATAAACATACAGAAAAACAGATAGTTCACGCAATTCAAAATTAACAAAATCAAGGTTTTAAATAAAACTCTGTCATTGGATATTTGATAATCCTCTGAGGATGAAAAATATTTGCACAAACAGGAATTGACAAGAAATAAATGTTACTAGATGCAAAATTTTTTTAGAAACGTACTGTCTCAAACTTTCTCAAAGTCCATCCAGTGCCAGTGCCCAGGAAAACGTCATTATCGTTACTGACGTTCAAACCTCATATCTCACACGAAGCAACTGTGATACTTCAATTCGTTAAATGACATTATATATTATTATTGCACTTTATACTCGCATAAATAGTATGTATTTATGCTGTTATGCTGTGTCATTTTTGTAAGGAATTTAAAAGGTAACAAAACAGAGAAAATTATGCTATCATTCAATTCAGAATATTACATTTTCTAATATTTTTCTCCAGACATAGGTCTGATGGTAGACTTCTAGTGATTCTGTTTGGGAAAAGAATCTATCTGTCCTATTAATATATTAGAATAGCAGCAAGGAGCAACTGAGGAAAACAGTAGCCCATAATGTAAAATAACCCTGATGATAGCTGAATTACAGTCGAAACGTATTAAATAAATGAGGACTCCATTGAAATGGTGCAATAATGCAATAGTGCAAATGAAAACACGGTTTAAGTTGCGTTTAAGTGAATGTGTGATATAATCGTATTCACAAAATCCTTTACCCACCTGAACAATTTTCTTCTTCCTTATTTCTTTCAATAATTCTTCTGTTTCTGCAAGAATTTCTGCTTCAGAACTTTTCTTGCCAAAACCAAAATCTTTCAAATGTCTGAGTGCGAAACGACGTTGCTCAACCCAGACTGGTCCATCCGAGAAGATAATACCTGGACAATAACAAGAACTTGGACCTGCTTTCAAGCTGATTTCGTTTATACACTGATGATAATTGGCGGCTGTGAATTTTTAGCGATTGTGCCGCTAAGATTAACAAATTCAGTAACCGACGCAGCGATCACACGGTGCTACATCGCCAGTACATTATACTAGTGGGACTATTTTATTACAGATTACTGAGGTCCATGATGTAATTTTTGTAAAATAAATTTTATCACATCAAAATGTAATACCGGTGCAAAACTCTAATAGCAAATAAAACTATTTATCTGAAAAAAATAATGATATAACTAAATAACTAAATCCACGAAGCAGAATCCTTATTTAGAAACTGTTAGTACTTGAGTTGATAAAGAAGTCTTTTATGGAATTAGGAACTTTACTGTTGTATTCAAAAGAGCCCACTATTGGACTGTACATTTAGTCACATAAATCCAGAAGATCCTCTTACGCTTTCGTGTTAATACTCATTTTAATATTATCCGCCCATCTACTCCTGTCACCTGTCTCTGAAGTGGTTTCTCCTCTTTAGGTTTTGAGGCCGAAATTTTGTATGTACCCACGTTTGATTTATCACATTAAGAACGTTTGTGAAGAGCACAGAATTGTGAAGCTCCTCATTATGCAATTCTCTCCATCTTCATGTTACTTTGTGTCTCTTCGGTCCAAACATTCTCCCATCTATTTTATTTTAAAATACCTTCTATCTATTGCTTTCCTTAAGGCATACAAATCAATGGATAAAAATCCAGTTTTGTCTATTTTAATCTCTAAGTTTCTCGAAAAAAGACAGGAAAATGAAAAATTGTAAGTTGCTTTTACATTCTGTACGATGATGGAAACAGCAAGCTCCTTTGAACCGTCGGTACGTCGTACAACATCCACAATACTTTGTTGACATGAGAACGTCAGATCTCACCTAATTTTGATTTGTTAGGCTTCGTCGTTTTCAAAATCGAAACATTTATGGACGCATAAACCACAAAATTAATATTATCTAATCTTCTTCATTAATGTAATTTTGATTAAGTACCATCGTTCCCCAAAAATCTTACACCACACTGACAGATCGTAACGCGAATGAAGACACAACTCACCAAGGCGCTTGTGGAAATTCCTGTCTGGGACATTATCGTCGTCTTCTCGGCCAAGGAATTCGTCCCTTCTCAGGACTTCGATCACCTCTCGAGGTCCGCCGACTGCTATTACTGGTTTCGAACCCAGCATGAGACCAACTATGGGGCCGTAACTTTCAAACCAGCTTCCAGAAATGGTTAAGTGGATATGCTTTCGAGGTATGAAGGGAAGCGAACCAAGAATAGGGATGCATGGAGGTCCTGAAAAAAACCATGAATCACACACGCTATATCGTCATAATTCCACAACCACCACCCAAAACTTGTGAGTACTAATGGCTGAATTAGTGAAATAATGACATTCGAAAACGCGGATAGCAAAAACGTGTATAACAAGAGTCTGCTATATCATCACGGAGTTAGAGTATTGTACATGAAAGAATTGTTATTGTCTTTCTACGAAGAATGCTGATTAAGAGACAAGGTTTCCTTCAAGAGCATTGATCTTACCAGGTGGGAAATTCTTCGGTTTCATGTTCACCCAGTAGTACAGGAAAAGTATGAGTAAAACAGCTATTGCGATGTGTAGAACCATCGTGAAATCCCGACTTCAGCTCGTCGAAGGAGTTCACAAAAACTGTTTCCTGTAAAAGATAATGAACGCTCTTAAATGTGCCAGAAACCTGCGTATCCGGGACGAGTTCATATTTACTCTGCAGAGGTTTTCGTGCTCGATCGGTCAAAACAGTTACGGACGTGCAAATATTAAAGTATGATTTGAGATTTCTGTCTTCTGGGTTGTTGCGCTGTGTAGTCTGGTCGATGTTAACCAACGTTTCGGAGATCATACTGCCTCCGTCATCAGGGCGATGAGTATGAAGATTTCTGTCTTCTGGGTTGTTGCGCTGTGTAGTCTGGTCGATGTTGATCTTCTGGGTTGTACAGCCATTTGGGCTTGCAGGTACATAAAGACGTTTCGTAGAAATGTAAACCCTTTTCTGTGGTATCTACCCACGTGTCTACACGGCATCACTACCCATATCGATGTTGTTAAATTTATGTCGTGTTAATAATCGACTTCCAACAGTCACTTTACTATTTTAAATTAAGTAGCGTTTATAAACAGCATGTTACATCATTATTTACGTAAAGATTTTTTGTTCAGTAGCCTTGTATGACGTCTTACGTTATCTGAAGGTCATGTATGAACTACGACTTCTATCTTGCTTGAATAATTCTGAATGTCATCCTTCACGTAACATATTTCCCATATAATAAGAAATTGCAAGTATTTGTAACCGAACACAAGGTCCCAGAACCACTCCATCCTGTTCCGATTTGATTTCTGAGACCTGAGACCAGTTGAACTCTTAAAGGATATTAGTACTTCAGGAAAATGCTGTGTAGTAGCTTTAAACAGGCTACGGCCGCTTCCCCACATGTGATTAGTAATTTATTTGTAATTTGTTTAACGACGCTAACAGTAACTCAGATTATACACCTCAAATGATATAATAATTAATAAATGATTAATCATTATAAAGGATATGGAAATAAGCGGTCGTGGTATAATATAAGGTACAACTCCAGTATTTTATATAAATTCCAACTCACCTTCTGATGCAACAATGTAGCCAGTAAATGTCACGTAAGACTTCAAGGACTGAAGCTGATTTTGAGTAATTATATGGTATAAGTCACGCACGCCATCTACACAGAAATCTCACAAACAACTCATCGTTCACTTGAAATTTATCTGTTCTCTTGACTGTTAGCGCCACGAGTGATCTTTTGTGGAAGCAAACATCGATTTCAATGCAGTGCAAACAACAAATACTTTTCACAGGATATTTCAATTTTTTATTGTTAGTTATAATTTAACGTAAGTAGATATTTTACATAAATTAGCTGGTTTTCGCAGATTTCAGTTATATTGTCATACCATAAATATTTAAAACTTGTTTAATATTAACCTGGACTTGCGTAGAACAAACACTGTAAATAGTTCACCCATAATCATCTCCTTATCACGTATGACGCTAAATATTATCTACAATTGATACAGATACATTTAACATGAAACGTAATTGTATATTGAATTGACAGTTGTCTAATTGGCGTTATTTCGAATGGTGTGGAATGTCAGGACAAAATCAGATATTATACAATTCGCTGTCATTTTAAAATGTCCTACTACATACTTCTTCAAGTCAATTTGACTTGATATAAATTCCAACTGACTGTGCATTCCAGAAAATCTGAATGTGTCAGAATTGTAAAGATATAATCAAATTAGTATAATTATGTGACATAAGAAAGACTTTGCAACTTTCTCTTCGGGGACAGTTTATAGGAATGACGTGTGCTAAATTCTTCGAGTAATTTTCACTCGGAATGGCTGAGGGGCCATCGTCATTCCTGGAAGAGGTAACGTCTGCGGAGGAGGATCGTCTTCAGGCAAACTGAACAAGAACTCTTGAAGTAGCGACGTGAAGAACAGGAAAATTGTGTTTCGTGCCATTGCTTCGCCGAGGCACATTCGCTTACCAGCTCCAAAGGAAATAATCCATTCGTCTTTAACAAAATTTCTGTTTTCGTCCAGAAAACGTTCGGGTCTAAAAACTTCAGGGTCACCCCAGTGTCCGCGGTCGTGATGCACGCTCCACAGGTTTATCAAAACCATGGTATCCTGAATAAGAATATAAAATTTCCATTTTTATTATTAAAAAAGGGTTATTTAATCGATATATTCCTGGTTAAGTTGTTTGATTTTCAAATGAGTGTACCTTCGGAATTGTATATCCGTGCAAATTAGTATCTTTGGTAACGCGGTGTGGTACAGTCAGCGGTACAACTGGGTTAATGCGCATCACCTCACTTATGACAGCATTCACATAATGCAGCCTGAAAAAGTAACACATAATCGGGTAAATGGTACGTCTTTTAACCTCTTGGCGAAAGTTCCACGTACTTTGCGTGGAAACGTATACAAATCAAACCTTGTAATACGCTAAATAATTTATAAATCCCTTCTATTAGATGGATGCTCTAATCCAGAAACAAAAGTATGTACCAAAATTTTCTTCAGTATGCAGTAAAACAAAAATATTACTCCTCGACGGATTATTTTTTGCGAGCGTTCTAAGGACGTTGTCCCGAGGTTGCTAACCGCGACTTCCTCGTGTGGACGTCACGTGGCTGTGGCGACTACCATATCTCATCCAACTGGTGAAGTTTGTTGGGGACAGAGCTGTCAAGAGACTTGACTTCACCACACATTTCTACCAAGTACCAATGACTAAGTAGAATAGGTTGCACTTACTCCCTGTTTATAAGTACAAACCTTTGCCTGTCTTCAACAGATGGTCTTCTGTCTTGTCCTACCACAGAATCAAGTTCTTCCTGGACCGCATTTTGCACTTGGGGATGAAGTATCATGTAGAGCAGACAGAAAACCAGTGTGTTGTTTGTGGTATCTCCTCCAGCGACGAAGAAGTCGTGGCAGGTCACAATTAGCCCTTCCTCTGATTGAAATATGAATATCAACTCTCAATTATAGTTTATGGTTAAGAACGAGACACAGGACCCTGAATTCCAGTATCGACAGTCCATTTTTCTTCTCACGAAAACAATAAACAGCAATGCATATTTGGACCTTAATAATGGACGTATTAATCTTTCAGAAAGACGGTCGGCACTTGGTGAATGTTTTATTTCTGAATATCAGGATGGATAGATGAAGGCCAATTAATTGGCCTCCCCGTTCATCAGTCATACTCTTTTTCTCGTTTTCCATCCACAAATTTCCGGAATACAAGACCTGACCGCCTGACTCGTCCCTTTCGATTTATATACAGGGTGGGTGGGAAGCAAGTAGGCATTGAGAAATGGTTAAAAACTCTATATTTCTAATGCAAAGATAATGAAAATAATTTTTACATGTACCTTTTTAAATGGGAATATGGACGCCATCTCTGCACAGCAACCACTGAATTCCACACCTCATAACGTGCAGGAATCTGCGCTCGCTCCTGAACAGTCAAGCGGCCGGCCATCTTTGTTGCCAATGTGCGTACTGCCTCTCTCGGCCACTGCTCACACCACCGACGCGCGAATTATGATACGTACATATTATTTTCATTAGGATTGCATTAATATTACAAAACCTACAGCGATTATTTAATGCCTACTTTTCTCAATGCCTACTTACTTCCCACCCACACAATAGTTCATAAAAAAAAACTCACCTTTCATGCGGAATAATATTTCCCAAGATTAAGAAAACAGAAGTGCTCTAAAATTTCGGTCACGTGTCTCAACTGGAATGAATCATCCAAACACCACATTAACAGTATTAATATAACATTTCAAGTCTCAGTTCTAGATTTAAGTGGGGCCTACCTGTAAAAATGGCGTTTCCATTGGAATTTCCTTTCTGCATTTCAATTAAATACGCATCAATGAAATCTCTAGGATTATTCTCATTCAGAACTTGTTTATGTTCCGTGATTTTTCTCTGCAACAATAAAATGGTTCAGTTAATTTTATAGTTGAAGTTCGGAGCTCTAATTTAGTGTTGTAGGGCATCAGTAAAGTCAAGTCTGTACATTGAATGATATTATGCAAATGTATCTTCACCCTTTAATGTTACACAGGAGATACTTTGTTACCATTACTACTATAGTTATTACTTCACATACCTGAATAAAATTGTAGGCATTTTTGATGTAATACATAATTTCGTTTGACCCTGTAATGCGAGGGAAAAGGCGTTTCAGGATAGGAAATATATTAGAGATCTTTCCTGATCGGAATGAACGGCGTACAAGTTCGTCCAGGTTGTTTACCAGCGCTTGAAGTTCTTCGTCATCTCTTGCATACCGCATACCAGACATCACACCCGAGATAACATTCAGAGCGGATATCTTGAACAGGCCATACATCTGAATATCAACAAAGGATAGCAATGTTAAAATCGTGCCAGAGCCTTGCGTCCTAAGTTAGGTTATGTTAGACAGGAAGCCGCATTTTATATTTAATGTAATCGAAACAGGAGATTGGCAAGCCTGTGCAAGATTTATATACGTTACTCAGTTTTAATCCTTATCTCACTTTTATTCCTATCCTAATTTGACCGATAACAGGACCCATCTTGAATCTCTAAGTTTCATCATATCAAAGGTAAAAATAAATCTTCACATGAATGTTCCAAATTCGACTTGTCCGCTATTTCGTATTCGTGCCCGTAGCTGTTTACTACTATTTAAGATATAAAATCATGGCGGCTTTGACGGTACAGAATTTCATTCTAATAAATTACACAAATTCAAGCAAATATTAGGAAAAATACAACAAAAGACGAATAACAATGTTTACGTATGTTGTGGCTAGCTTGAGGCTAATACTGAAAGCAATATTTTAGGATGGAGAGGATATGCACTGCTGAAATATTGTTTTCTTACGCACACTCAACAGAAACGAGCAGAGCCACAAAAGAAATGTTATTGTCATTCACAGGAATAAATAGTTTTAATAGTTTTAGTTTGATAAGCTTCCGTATAGGAAGAAGAGACTTTTGTGTGTTACTATTTGAGTAGCTAACATTAACATTTGGCAGGAGAAATCAAATGTTTAACAGCCATTTTACCATAAACCAGACATTGGACACAATCCTTGGTTAATTCCATCCACTTCACAACATCTTAAATGAACAGGTTCCTAATAGAACGTAGTCCACTCATATTATTTTCCTATACACAAACCATTTCTAACTTCTTTTATATTTGTACATCCGAACACGAATGAGGTCATGGCCTTCATAAATGCAAACTTTCAACAGTTTTCGTCGTTGGGGGCTTGGTGCTTTCAACATTGTTTTATCACACGTGCGGGATACAACCGTGGTATCAGACCTACCTGCACAGTGTCTTTGCTTCGCATTTCAATGACCAAGTCTTCAACTTCCTGCATGATCAGTCCACCCATGTCTGCCTTTCCAAACCCGAAATCTTTCAAATGACGCAAACTGAAACGTTTCATCTGCAACCAATACGGGCCGTCAGTGAATATAATTCCTGCAACATAAATGGAGAGCCCTCAGTTGTGCATTCATGAATAATCGATTTGGAATAAATCGATTATCCCTCTAAATCATTGAGAGGGATACACTGTATTTAATGGGGGGATGGGAGGGGACAGAAAACTGTTCCGGTTCTTAAAGTTCCCAGACAGTGCCCGTTTGTCCCGGTAAATATGAAGTACGAAATTAATCTAAACAATGTTTACAGATTCAGCACTTACCTCAAAGAAAACCCGACGCTCTAAGGTGTTAATCCAGTGTTTCTAAACTTTTCAGCTACGTTACTTACCAAGTCGCTTGTTAAATGATATATCCCTGGTTCTGGAATTGTCTACGCGACCCTGGAACTCATCTCGCCTAAGCACTTCCAGTACAGCCTTCGCTCCGCTCACTCCGAGCGCCTTCTTCGTCCCAAACATTAGTCCCACCACGGGACCATACTTGTCCATCCAGCTCCCAGCCATAACGCAGTGGAGATACTTCCGGGGCAAAAAAGGGATCGATCCCAGGACGGGCAAACATGGCGGACCTAAACACACCGGATCAGGAACGTCGAAAGTGTTTTAAAGTTTCGGCAGGGGCGGGGGGAATCACGTTGGAAAGGTAAACTTTCCTTTAAAATATTTTGGTTACCCTTCTTAATTTAAATAGGAATGTACAGAGTATTCTGTGGAGAAAAATCATTCTTGAGAAACTAAATAGTACGCCCAGCTAGTCAAGAAATTACCCGTATTTTATGAAACATGAAGATTCATCACCGTGTTCACAACAGCCCGCCATCGGTACGTATCCTGAGACAGACGAATACGAATATAAATATCGTATATCCAGTTCCATCACAAGGCAAATAGCAAATAATTCCTTAAAAGCAACTGAATTAAATAAAGATTAATTTTGCATGACAAAATTCTAAACAGATGCACCACACCTAGTTGTATCAATATCCGTCAGGTAGTTTGGACTCTGTTTCTTGTGGACGGGCATACAGACATGACGAAGATAACAGGTAGTTTTCTTATTTTGTATTTTAAACCGTAAATAAAACTTATTTTGCGTAATATTCTTTCTTACCAGGCGGGAAATTCTTCGGCGTCGTATTCGTCCACAAATAGACGAAAATCACGATAATTACAGCAAGTGCAATGATTATATCCATCCTGAAAATGAAACGAAATATCCTTTGAATATAATTATTTTCAAGCCTTGATTCAAGATATTAAATGATGTAGAAGAATGAAAATATATAATATAATCATAACTTATTATGTCTCACAAGTTGATCTGCCATATTTATCAAGTAGTTCCTGTGGCGAATAATGGTTATGATATATATTTGAGAGACATCAGGTTCGATTCTCGGCCATGTTGTGAGTTATCCTGACTTCTTATAGATCATTAGTCCTTCCACGTAAATTCTGGGAGGTGACACTTAGATCATCTTCCAAATCCTTGACTATTAAATCTAGGGAGAATTCGGCATTACATAACCCCCATAACTGAAATACGTTCGTGAAACAACGTAGGCACTAACTTACCATTATTCCGATACCATGGTTTGTGTTGGCAATACACATGGCAAAGGTATTTGTCTCATTTTCCTGTACCAAAATTTCTTCTTTTACAGAAATTATTAACTAGCAGAGTGCTTAAGTATTTCAGTGAGTAAGTTCAGCAAATGCTTTAATTTATAGTTAATTTTTATTCACCGAAAGTAGGTCATGGGTCTGATTATTCCACACGTATCTTTGAATGTCATGGAGAAAAACATTATTTTCCACAAACCCTGCATCTTTAACATACCGGCAGAGGTCTCTGGCAGCAAACGTTATAAACGTAAATATATCAATATATATAGAAGGAGTCATATAAGTGTAAGAGGTACGTACTTTAAAATTTCTTGCTGGAACTTCTTGTTTTAACGTGATGACGTGGTGTTGTGGTTAACAGTCGCCCTTCAAAATCGAGAGTACCATGTTTGAATCTCAGCTCAAAGACCGTCTGTACTTTCTGAAGAGTTTCGCGGTTTTATCCATACCCTCCTGGCAACATCTGTAACCGCTCATCCGACTTTAGTTTAGTTTTAATTGATTATTAGGTGATATGTCATTTGATGTCAATTAACATTCTTTTATTTTACATTAATTCCTAAAAGATTTGTTCGATTTAACACATGTTTCTGCATCGCACATCTCAAGTTATCCATTGTATTGACAGCTACTTGCAGGTTAGCACCACCTGTTTAGAACGGAAGTAGACATCCACTTCTAAGTACTAGAAGCAAGCCTTACGCTACGTGAGTAGAACACATATTTAGAGATTTACTTATTTTACGATCTCACATTTAAATTACCCTTTTAACTGACAACCAGGTTGTGCAGGTGTTTTAACCCTTCTAAGCGGTAATTTAAATTCCGCGCTGCTTGGCGAGGAGTGGTGGCCATTTAAATTTTGCTCTAAAACACTTTATTTATCATAACGTTTGAACTATATAACATATAATGATCAATTCTTTACTGAAACCCTCTTAAAAGATGGTTTTATAATTTCAGCGTATAATATGAACATCCTGTGTGTGAGGAATGCTAATAGTCGATTAGACGTTGAGTGTTGTATATAAATTATTGAAACGTCAACACTACCCAAATACATAGATTTTATGCTTTTCTAGCGGTTCCTGCACATGACGCAATGTCTTTGAGGCATTGAATTTCTTTCCTGTGTCAATAATACGCCGGAGTAAATATGTCTGCGCCAGCTGATATTCTGACAGCGAACTGAAGGCCACATATATGCATCATACTTAGCAGTTATAACCGTCTCTTTCTAAGAACTCTTCTGATTATAGACTTCTGAGTATAGGGGTGCTAAAATTGTTGATATTTGAAGACACAGATAAACATAACTGTATATCTATATATATATATATTATGGAGCCCCTTGACCGTTTCAGATAATTTTTTTTCCTCTCTACTTCGCTGGAGCAGTTATCGTGTCATATGAGACTGAGAGAATGAGTTATCTTACCTCTACAAACAAACAGCTCAGTGTTCTTTGGAAGATTGTGTAACCTCTTAGGTCACGCATTTATTCACAGACTAGCCTTTAGAGATCGAAGAATGCGACGTTGCCAATACATGATCAGAAAGAGCATTTCTTCCACACCAGATCAACTACAAACATCATATATCAGTCGTTATTATTTCCATAATTATGGGCTTTTGAAATTAGGCTTAACAGCAGACCGGGAATTTAAATGCCAGGACGTACCGATACGTCGCCCACCCGAGAAGGGAAGAGACTCTCGCATTCACGCCAAACCCGGGCCCTACGCCAATGGAAATTATTGTTATATCTTTCTTGGTTGGAGTCTGTAATTTCGTTATCTAATCAGGAATTTTCTTGTGAAGTGTCTTAACCCCGGTGTCAGGGGTCACAGACTTAATTTCACACTTGAAATTTGGACTTTTGGTAAGAAGCAGTTGGACTCTCTCCACTGCACTTTTTGGAACCTTAACTAGAAATTTCCAGACACTACAACTAAACTTCAAGTATATAAATTACCAAGAGCAACGTAAGTTATTAATAGCTTGACAACCTTAAAATTGTCTAACGATCGTTATCAGTAACCTCAGTGTTGTACGTGTGTAAATAAATAGTGGCAATTTCCTCGAAATCAATCAAGTGTTAATCATTAGCTGCTATTAACAGTCCATTAACACCACCTGAGATCCGGAGTCCATCTACCGACTAGCTAGGCCCCAAGAACCCTGAGATACCCAATCTCAATCACCTGCACCCAATTTAAAACATCCGCGAAACAAACACCCATATCGGCCCGGGGTCAGAGGCAGTTCAACATCCTCCCTGAGACGACTACAGCTCTACGACGTTCAACCAGCGGAATCTTGGAAGGCAAACAGTATTATGGATATATATATATACAGCTAGTGAAATAAATCGTCCCTAAGTGTACTATAAATAAAACAAGGAGTGAAACCTCAGCATAAACCTCGCTTCTGTAAAAAGTAACATCGCACAAGAGAATAGTACCGACGGTCATGGCTGCTATTTATTCATGTAATTTGTATACTTACATTCGCGTTCTTCTCTGCTGTTATATTGGCCGCACAATGAAGAAAATATTTTAATCACTGTAAGACCGAAAGGCCTTGAACCGCCTGTTAAACGGCAGGAATGTTGTAATGTAGCAACACAGCTGTGCTGGTACTGCGCGTTACTTTAGAACGTTACGTAAGTACAGAGTCGTGCTAATGACGAGTATGTTTCGCACAGAGGAGTTACATCAGCGCCAGTTCACGTTTATCCTCTGTGAATGACTGGAACACAAATCTCTAGTCATCTCTGGAGTCACCGTCATCATTTGGAACAAGTACATTTTTCGGTACTGTTAATATCTTGTTCTATCCATATTTTGAATTGCTGAGTTATTTACTTTTCCCTTGGGAACTTAACATTCTTCCTAACAAACTCCGATTTGAAGGGCCAGAATTTTTACTTATGGCTTGTTCTTGTCAAAGTGAGACCAGTATTCTGTTGAAATATTACACAGCACAAACACAAAATAAAATTTTATATTCAAACCTATAACCATATTTCGTTAAGAGCCATCTTAATATTATCCTCCCATCTACTTCTAGGCCTCATTTGCCCTTTTATTCTCTGTCCTATTCGTTCTGTATTTGGGTACGAATACAGAAAGATGCGTACTTGTAAACAATGAACTCAGTGGCCAGTTTGTCAGCTTATATTTCGTTACGAAGATAAAAGTGTTTATGAAGAACTGGAACTCAAAAGTAACTTTTAATATATTCGTGTCAGATACATTAATATACTCTACATGAAGCGTGTACAAATCTAAAAGAAAGAAAAAACAATGAAAGGTTGAAACTAATGGATATATAAAATTTGTTGTCCGTTTTCGTATTTCTGTTGTAAACACACACCTTGAATCACATGTTAGAATATTTGCTGTTGTTTATTAGACGTTTACTCACATATTGTCACCCATATGTTCAGAAGAACATGGAATTGTATAATTTAATAATAAATTCAATATCTAGGCTAATCCAGTCACAAATAATCCAACCAAATATTTAAATTTCATAATTCATTCTGTATTCGAATTCGCAAAATTTCTAATTAACAAAACTCGAAAAATAAAGTTGAATATCGTTCAGTTCATATGCAGCAGACAGTCTTTTAGATTATTTCGGTTTGTTCATTTATTTATCAAATGATGTAATCATGTAATGTAATTACCTTAAAAAATGAAAACAGTTAATAGTAGTTTTATACAATATCACGTCTACCAAATTCCCATCAATAGTACCTAAATGCAATGTAGTAAGCGTTTCGGAAATCTTTAATTGGAATTTTTATCTGTTAGGCTCAACGTGGTGGTTATAATACACAGTTACTGTCTTCAAGAGAGAAAAAAAAAGCTTGGAAATGCACACATAGCTCAAAATTATGGTGCTTTCGCCAGATACAATCACAATAATGTGTCCTGTATCTTTGTGATGTTTTGTTCAAAATATGTCAACCAATTTTTATAAAACTTCTCATTGTCAAACTTCATGAAAGTCCGTTCGCCCAGTTTTTATGTTGTTACAAGCGTACAAACGGATAGGTGGCGATTGTAATAGGCATTTGCAGGGTTGCAAACGCGCCTTGAATGTGCAGTATGTTCTAACAACTACTGTTTTAATGAATTACCAGAAGGTCAGTGTTCAACATTGGCCTTTTGTTTTCCGGTTACATGCGTTGCTTTAGTTTCATTCTGAATGGGTGAGGAGCTGTTGTAAATCCAGGCTGAGGCATTGTGGTTGGACTCGGATCCCCTTCTGGAATGGTAATTGAAAATTCTTGGAAGAAACTTGCGAAGAAAATGAACAAGACGTTCTTTGCAAGCGATTCTCCGATACAATATCGTTTTCCACTTCCGAAATTGACCAACCATTCGTCTTTCACAAACTTGCCGTTACAATCAAGAAATCTGTCAGGTCTGAAAACTTCCGGGTCGCCCCAATGACCAGGATCAGACAGAACGCTCCAGATATTTATGATGACCATTGTTTCCTGAATAATGGAAACAACAATTTGTAAATGACGTTTCGATGGAACAAGAAGAGTATTAGCGAAATTAATTTACACAGAACAATGCGAGTATGGTGTTGTGACATTGACAGAGAATTTACCTTGGGAATTTCATATCCGTCTAGCTTCGTGTCCTTCAGAACTCTGTGATTTGGGGTCAGTGGAGCAATTGGGTTAATTCGAAGCGCCTCGCTGATGGTAGCTTCCACGTAAGGCAGTCTGTAGAAGATAAACGGCTCTCAATATGTTTACAAACAACACAGTTACTGTTCGCGACTGTAATCTTGAGACTTGCAAGGAATGCGTGAAGTCCGAAGCGTTAAAGGTTGGCGCTATCTTTTCCCCTTTCCTTCTTCACCCCGCAAGTCTCAAGATTACAGTCGCGAACTATAATTAACAATACCTTTAAATTTCTTAGCGCCAGAACAAATTTAGTTCTCGGTCCGTATTTTGTTCACCTCAGAAAACATTATATGTTTGCGACATATGAATGAGTTTCGCCGTGTTTGTACCTTGGTTTGTCGTCCAGCGTGGGTCTTCTGCTGCGTCCAACTACGGTATCCAATTCTTCCTGTACCTTCTTCTGAATATGAGGGTTCAGAATCATATAAAGCAGAGCGTAATCCAGGCTGTTAGCAACAGACTCTGCACCCGCAGAGAACAGATCTAGCAAAATCATAATTAGCCCGTCCTCTGAAAGGCAACAAAATTTAATAAACTCTATCGATCGTGACAGTATCGCAAATATATAATAACGAGAATCATAATTGTAGTTTCACTATGTTCCCTATATATTATCACAGATTTGCCAGCTTAGATAGTGTGCACTCCCACAGTGACCACAGTACGCTACGTAAACAGCATTCTGGAAGGTTCTTAGCTAATCTACAAATGATGAATAGCAGCTTTATCTGTCTAGATCTCGCCATGAACACCTGGAAAGACATTTAACATTCTAGAGGCTGGTGGAAACGATTGTGGACATCGGGCAGAGGCTGAAAGCCCCTCAAGTGTTGAAGTGATAAGCGAACATGGACCAACGCTTGTAAAGTCAGCGTAGAGTAGAACGACAGAACCAAAGCTAGGAACAATCAATAACAACGTAGAAGAAAACAGTTACATAAAGAGTCAAGACTGTGATTTAAGGAGTGTCGGGTAATAATTCTAGGAATGATCAATTGTACTCATGATTGTTTGAAATAAATCTTGTGATATCACCTATTATGTCGCAATATTATTAGGGTAATATAATTAAGGACAATGAAATGGATGGGGGGATAAATACATGAGAAACGCGTACAAAACTTTAGTCTGGAGAGGCTGGCTAGAAGAGGCTTCGGCGTAGGTGAGAGGGTAATATTAAAATATATTTTAAAAAATAGGATATGAGTGTATAAGGACAGTGTCCAATGGGCGTCTATTGTGAATACTGTTTTGAATATGTGGATTTCATATAAGGTAGACAATTGCTTGACTAGTATGGAGTTAATTATGTTTTCAAATGGCTCTCCGAAAAAATTGCTATCATTTTTAAAAGTAACTACTGTCCTTTATGATATAATTGTCACATTAACCTACCTGTATATGATGAATTGTTAGTACCGTCATTCTGTTTCATTTCGGTCAAATACAAATCTATAAAATCTCTAGGTGCATTTTCATCAAGAGTTTTCATATGTTCTCGGATACTTTTCTGAAAGAGAAAAAGACAAGAAGTTAAATAACACATAAGATCCATCGCTTAGGATAATTTATACGTTGAGTAAACCGAGGAATTAATTAACACCGATGTGTGTTTGTTCGTTTGTTTGTTTTTATGTGATTTTCTGAAAATGTAGTGCTGAACAACGACTGTTGAAGAATGGTTGCGAAGATTATCAACGATGAACTGGAAATAACATGCCCGTGAACTGCTTCATGCTATTTTCCCGGAATTCATTTACAATAGACTGAATAAGTCCATAAAACATGTTTAATATTTAATAGAATTTCGTAATTGTGAATCACACGCCTCGACGGAGAGATATTTAATGCACGTTTGAGTGAATAAATATGAAGCAGTCTAAGGGTCAACTTCAATTTTTTCGTGCCTTTAAAGACGACAAGTGACAAGTGAAGTGTAATTAACTATTACTAGTTTCTTTTACTAGCAGGATAGATTTTCTACGAGTAGGATATTTTTTTATTGTTTACTCACCCGGAAGTAATTCTGTGAACATACAGTTCCGATCATTCTGTCCTTGTAGCCAGCTACGTCAGGGAATAAATGCCTCAGAAATGGTATGATATCTATGATGTCACCAGATGGATTTCCTGTCCGAAACAGTTTTGTTATCTTCTGCAGAAGTGTCGTAAATTCTGTATCATTTTGAGAATGTCGTACACCACCCAAAACTGCCCACAGTACATTGATGGAAGAAAGGCCAAAGAATCCATTTCTCTGCATCGAAAAAGCACAGTTTCATTTCACTTCAGCAACGGATTTATATAATACGAGGAGTAAAATTATCTTAAAATTAATTTAATTTGGTGGTAGTCTCGAAGTATACAAATCACAGTGTGGAAATTGTAGTTACTTTGATTCTAATTTAGTATTTGAATTTTGATTGATTTCAGTTACCTTATTTTAATTTACTACGAACACTATAAAAATAATTACGTAAAATACAGACATGTCAGTTATAAAAAGAGTTTCCTGATGCATAGAACACTTAAATTTGATGTAAGAATTATCTGTGGTAAATTCCATTAATCAGTTTCATCCTCATTGCACATATTTAAATCTTGAAGTTTAACTTGTATTCCATTAAGATATGATTATAATATCTACTTGAATTTTCGCATATATTAATTTTATAATTCATTAAAAATTAACACGGAAATGAATTAATTTTTTTTTATCGAGAATGTTTAAAGTGTTTGTGGAATTATGTAATTTGCAACCGCAAATATTTTCCTGTATTAAATGGAAAAGAAAATTTGTGAGAGTATAAAGTTTTACCTTTAGTAATGTACAGGTTCTCTGTTTTGTTATTCACCATGGCAAACAATCTTCCGGTCACCAAAGTCTTTGAAGTGTATTATCAAAACAATAAGTCAAATAGTTGTCGAATTTATTCCCGAAATGTAACAGGAAGTTCGTAGAAGAATGTGACAACCTTATTATTTTCTTATACTTATTCCTCTGAATGAGGAAATTGAAAAGTACAAAATTTTGCGGCCTTCACTGACATTGTATGTAATGTGCAATGAACATCTATAATTTTCTTTTAGAGTTATTGACCTCGTGATAGAAACATCGTTATGACCACATAAATCTCTTTCTTTAAAAGGAAATAAAGTTAAATACAGCAGGGTGCATTATACCCACGATAATTTTGAGTCAACGAAACGAGTGTTTACTTTTGCAAACACATTATTACTGTCGCACAGTTCATTATAATTTCCATTGTTGAAATAAAAAAAATTCTTGGTCATTTTCGTTATCTTCAGATACAGCTATCCCAGTTTCATCTCACCTGGATCTCAACATTTAAGAGTTTCTTGAACAGGACTTCTGCCTCGTCCACAATTATGCCCTCCAAACTCTTTTTCCCAAACCCAAGATCTCTCAAGTGACGTAGAGTAAAGCGACGCTGTTCCTGCCAGAAGGGTCCATCGGTAAAGAAGAACCCTGTAACAGAGGCTTTGGTTTTACCAGACTACACGGCACTACAACGCAAAGACAGACATCTGCAGCATTTCTTTTACCTAGTCTCTTGTTGAAAGATCTGTGTTTTGCGTTAAAGGTGTAAGGTCTTCCTTGGAATTCGTCTCTGCGAAGGACCTCCATAACTTGCTTTGCTCCAATCACAGCTACTGCCGGATGAGAACCAAACATGAGGCCGACAACAGGTCCGTAATCATTTATCCACTTCTTAACCATGGTGAAGTGCACATTCTTAGACGGTACAAATGGCAGAGTACCCACCAATGGTAAACATGGGGGACCTGATTAAAAAAACCAACCAAACATTTAAATGTTTTATAAATATATTTTTAGTGCGATGGGGAATTTAAATTTGCCGTATCCAGTGGCAACACTAGACTCTTATCACCCCAACAATACACTTCACTGTTTCTCAGACATATAATTGTAGGAATTATGTTTAATCCCTCAAAAGACACTACAGAAATGAAATGAAGAAATAAATATTGCTTTATACAAGTTGGTATTACGTAATATATGACTTACCAGGCGGAAAGTTTTTGGGTCTGAAAATTAAAAGCGAATACAAGATAGAAGCAATCAATGCTATAAGAATTAAAGTTATCATTGTTCACTCTGTTCTGGAAGCAAACTCTGATAGCAGATATATAATTCACAGCACACAACAGATATGCATGAAGACTTGTAATGTGACGGCAAACAACTAATTGCTGTGAAAAACCATCCAATCGAACTATTTATGATATGATTTTGCTAGCGTCAGAACATGTTATTGGATAACAGGTCATGACCCCAACCAGAAAGAAAAATACAGTTAATATGTGACTGTCATTATAATTAATGCCCACTTAAGACTGTTTACAAATCGTAACCGAACTTTTCTGTCTGAAGAGCAGACTAGTTATTCTTACTGGGGATATCCATTTATTTATTTATTTATTTATTTCTTTTTTACCCCAGTCTCATTTGGCATAAGTAGGGCTAAGTCTAGATAAAGGTGACTTTGGCCTCTTGCTTAACGATTAGGTCCATATCGTGGAAACGTTTCGGTGTAGACCTACGGAGGTAAAGCTTCACGCATTATATACTTTAACCACTAGAGTGAAGTACGTGGAACAGGAGTTTGGATGGGATTGAGAGTAGACCTATACATTGTGACGAAGAAAATAATTGCTATTGCTGATTTGAATCGAACCCGGTTCTTCCGTCCGGTAGTGTAATTTTATTGACTGTCTTAAAACAGATCACTTTCGTGTCTTCCCAAATTTCTACCCGTTCATCATTCACAGTTACCTGACATATGCAAACTATTTTACTTTACAGATGATATAAACTATCAAAATGGCCGAGTAGCCATTCGTTTTTGGGCCCTGTGATGGAATAGGTAAAAGTGTCACGATTCTTATTCTTAATTGTCCGTGCCAAAATAGATATTCCAACCTCGAACCTTAGTAATTTACTGGCCCAAGACACGCACTGTTTACACAAAGCGTTCATAGAGATCGGTTTGGAAAACTTACCTTGTAGAACAGAATGGAATTTCCACTAGGTACTTCAGCTGTAGATATTTATTGAATAAGATAAGACGAGGCAATAAAATAATTATGTTGGACGCCATGTAGACTCGTCAGTGGCAGATGCCTGCTTTTCGCAGAAACATACTCTCTCCATATTCAACCCTGAAGATGTCACCAAAACCCAAGATAATTCTTACTACCGTGAAAACCTCAGATCTCCCAAATTTAAAAAAAAATCATGTTGGTGTTCCTGGTTTTGACGCTGTGTGTGAACTTGTAGTCGGGCACCAACATTTTGGAGGATCGTTATGCCTCAATCTTCAGTGCTCTCTAAAAATAAGAGGTTTGACCCGTGACAGGGCAATGATTGATTCGCATGCAATAAGTCTACTCTGGCAAAAGGAATTTATCCGATGCGAGTCATAATAAAAGAGAAATAAGTATGTTTACTTATCAGCATGTCTTTCCAGCAGGAAACATTTTTAATTGTAACTTTTCCATTCCTTATCTTTAAGGTACGCTGTTTATTATGCTATAGTTTAAGTGAAATGCCTTCCTTCAGTACCATAAGACCAGAGTTCTGTTTTGCGTCTAATATTAGCAGGCTACGATCACATTCTTTCAAAGTCCGTGGTAGTTGTTCAACGCGTTGCTATCTGTGTAATTAGAAAAGGCAAAATTAAAAATATCTGTAAAGCATAAAATGAACTTGGCTTATTTATGCTACAGCAAAAACTTCCTCTGTCCTGATTTATAAATCATTATTTTAATAGTTCTAATGATGTATAAACACCACTCTAAATCTATCAAAAGTAAGTGGAAATTATAGAAACAAACGAATTAATACACCGTTATAATCTTGAAAGTATTAAATTTAGTGATTACATACATTTTTCTGACAAAAATTTATACTGTAATTTATGTTGATCACTATCTCTTTCGGAAGCTGGCTGTTCTACCATCTTTGGGTGTTTGGTTGTCATTGTACTGACACACAATAACAGCGATGAACTCCCGAAACCGGTGAATTTCTAGTCAGCGTATGGGGGACTTTGAGCGGAACAACTCAACACTCTGGTTACGGGCTGGGGTCAGATTTTCTTTGTATCACCTTTCTATCCAAAGCGACCGTGAACGCCTTCGAGATTCTACTCCACAGGTACCGAAAGACTATTTTCCCTTCAGAAAGTAGGCCGGGACGAAAAGCTAAATACTCATTTCCGACCATAACCGAATGCGTGGAGATTTAAGTCCTCTCTACTACACGCAATCATAGAGTACTGCAGGGGTTTACAGACTTTTTTGTGTTTCGTAACCAGATAACGTCAATGAAAAGTCTGGTAACCCACGTGAAAGGAATTTGGATGTAATTAAAATGGGATGAACTTTCACATCTTTCGAGGTATATTAGGTTTTCTGAAAGTGTACAATCTCATTTCATCTTCAAATAGTTCCAGAGACAGGATTGCTCAAAGCTAGAGTATCTATATGAATAAAGATTTAAAGCACACCTGGAAAAAATATCTGGTACCCAAAGAGGTACCTGTGGAACAATTTGATAACAGTCGGCAAAGAAAGGACGCGGCATTTACCGAGACTGGCATCCATCTCTTGAGCATATCTTTGAAAAAAATTAAAGTTTTACAAAATTCTTGAAAATTTTGAAAAAAATTTTATTGAGGAATTTTTCAATTTTTTTTGGTTTTAATGAGGAATTTTTCAATTTTTTTTGGTT